TTTTCCCTGTGATTGTTGTTTGGGTGAGGAAGAGCGTAAAGCACGAAGGGTGATGCCGTGTATTGTTTTGGTGAGAGAGTGTTAAAGCACGAAGGGTGATGCCGTGGATTGTTTTGGTGAGAGAGAGTAAAAGCACGAAGGGTGATGCCGTGCACTTGTCTTTGATTTCCTAATTTTTATTGATAATTGTGTTACGATTTCTCTCCACTAAATTGTTGGTTTCCTGTTAATACTTGTTGTACCCCGAAGCATGATTTCCCCTTTCCTATTTTCAATTGAAATGTGGTGATCCTCATATTTACTTGTTGCTCTTATGTTACTATTCGATGTTTCCCCGCAACATGTTTTCCCCCCTCCCATACTTGACTGTATATGAATGTTTCTTTATGTACTTCTTTTCTGCTGTATATAGTTAAATTGCACAGGTTATTTGGTAGTCTGGTCCTAGCCTCGTCACTACATCGCCGAGGTTAGGCTAGGCACTTACCAGCACATGGGGTCGGTTGTGCTGATACTACACTCTGCATTCTTTTGTGCAGACCCCAGTGTTGTAGACTTCGGACCGCAGTGGGATTGCTGATTCTTGCTCATCAGGCGACCCGAGGCAGTCCTACAGGCGTCCGCAGGCCTTGGCGTCTCCTTCTATCTACTATTCCTGTTTCTTTCATACATTTCTAGAGACAGTGTTGTATTTATTTCTTTCAGCCCCTTTATTTGTAGTATTCTTAGTCCGTCTATGAAACTGTGACACCAGTTCTGGATAGTCGAGACTCAAATAGTTGTATTGGATTCATGTTCAGCTAGCTTATTGCTTTTTTTTTCCTTCCGCTTATGTTAAATTCCGATGTTTGAATAATATTACTTCGCAATTGTTAATGAATATAAGATGGGTAAAAAGGTAAGTTGTTCACATAATTGGCTTGCTTAGCTCACATTAGTAGGCGCCATCACGACTCCCGAGGGTGGGAAATCCGGGTCGTGACAAGTTGGTATCAGAGCTCTAGGTTACATGGGTCTCACAATTCACAGACAAGCTTAGTAGAGTCTGAGGGATCGGTACGGAGACGTCTGTATTTATCCCCCAGGGTCTACAGAGTTAGGAAAAACTTCACATTCATTCTTTCCTGTCGTGCGATTTTGTTCTCTCAATGCTAAATTGAAACCTCTACTCTTGTCCTTTCGCGAATGGAGAGGTCATGTACCGCTTCTTCAGCCAAGCAGCAGCACATACCAGTGATAGATCAACTACTTCTTCGGAGGCTTTGTGGAGGTTGGATAAGTTTCACCAAGCTCTTCACTACTACTTTCAGCGGTGCATCTACTGAGGATCCCTAGTATTGTCTAGGCAGTTGTCACGAGGTTCTCAGAAACATGGGGATAGTTGAGACCAATGGGGTCGATTTTGCTACTTTTCACTTGTCTAGATCCGCCAAGACTTGGTGGAGAGATTATTGCTTGGCTAGAGCAGCCGCATCACCAGCTTCGACTTGGGAGCAGTTCACGCAGCTATTTCAGGAGAACTTTCTCCACATCACTCAGAGAGAGGTATTAGAGGGGGAGGTAGAGGTATTAGAGGTGAAGGAAGAGATGCTAGAGGTGGAGGTAAAGGTATTAGAGGTGGAGGTGCAGGTATTGTTCTGGTTTATTGGTAGAGAAGCTTTGGCTTTATTTTGCGCCGTATCTGGTCATGCCTAGTGATTCTTTGAGTGCCCCTGTTTATGTGTCTATGCCGGCGGGTGATTCTATTGTGGTGGATCGCGTCCATCGTTCATGTATAGTGGTTATTGGAGGTCTTAAGACTCGTGTAGATTTGCTTCTTCTGGACATGGATGATTTCGATGTTGTATTGGGGATGAACTGGTTATCACCTTACCACGCTATCTTGGACTGTCATGCCAAGACTGTGACCTTAGTTTTACCGGGTATGCCTCGTTTAGAGTGGAGAGGGACTCCCGGTCATTGTACCAATAGTGTTATCTCTTATGTGAAGGCTCGACGTATGGTCGAGAAGGGGTGTTTGGCCTATTTGGCATATGTTCGTGATTCTAGTGCTGAGGTTCCTTCCATATATTCTGTGCCCGTTGTTCGTGAGTTTCCTGAGGTTTTCCCTTCTGACCTGCCGGGTATGCCACCCGACAGGGATATTGACTTTTGCATTAATTTGGCTCCGGGCACTCAGCCCATTTCTATCCCTCCGTATCGTATGGCCCCGCTTGAGTTGAGAGAGTTAAAGAAGCAGTTGCAAGAATTGCTTGAGAAGGGTTTCATTAGACCTAGTGTTTTGCCTTGGGGTGCATCGATGTTGTTTGTTAAGAAGAAGGATGGGTCAATGAGAATGTGTATTGATTACCGGCAATTGAACAAGGTTACAATCAAGAATAAGTATCTGCTGCCGAGGATTGATGATTTGTTCGATCAGCTTCAGGGTGCCAAGGTATTTTCCAAGATTGACTTGAGATTTGGCTACCATCAGTTGAGGATTAGGGCATCCGATGTCCCTAAGACAGCTTTCCGCACTCGGTACGGGCATTATGAGTTCTTGGTGATGTTATTCGGGTTGACAAATGCCCAGCAGCTCTTATGGATTTGATGAACCGAGTGTTCGGGCCTTATTTTTATTTGTTCGTGATACTCTTCATGATGATATTTTGATATATTCTCACAGCCGAGAGGAGTACGAGCAGCATCTTAGAGTGGTTCTTCAGACTTTGAGTGATAGTTAGTTGTACGCCAAGTTTTTGAAGTGTGAGTTCTGGTTGAGTTCAGTTGCATTCCTGGGTCATGTTGTGTCAGCAGAGGGTATTCAGGTTGATCCGAAGGAGATTGAGGCAGTCAAGAACTGGCCTAGACCAGCATCAGCTACAGAGATTCGGAGTTTCTTGGGATTGGCAGGCTACTATCGTCGGTTCGTGGAGGGTTTTTCATCTATTGCAGCCCCGATGACCAGGTTGACCCAGAAGGGTGCCCAGTTCAGATGGCCGGACGAGTGTGAGGCGAGCTTTCAGCAGCTCAAGATAGCTCTGACTACAGCACTTTGGTTTTGCCCACAGGTTCCGGGCCTTATACAGTTTATTGTGATGCATCTCGTATTGGACTTGGTGCAGTGTTGATGCAGGATGGCAAAGTCATTGCCTACGCTTCGCGGCAGTTTAAGATCCATGAGAAGAACTATCTAGTTCATGATTTGGAGTTAGCAGCCATTGTCCACGCGTTGAAGATCTGGAGGCATTATCTGTATGGCGTGGCTGTGAGGTGTTCACGGATCACAAGAGTTTTCAGTATTTGTTCGAGCAAAAGGAGTTGAATTTGAGGCAGAGGAGGTGGTTAGAGTTGTTGAAAGATTATGATATCACTATCTTATATCATCCGAGAAAGGCCAATGTGGTGGCCGATGCTTGGAGTAGGAAGTTAGCCGGTATGGGCAGTCTTGCTTATATTCCGGTCGGTGAGAGACCGCTTGCTTTGGATGTTCAGTCTTTGGCCAATCAGTTGTGAGGTTGGATGTTTCTGAGCCCAGTCGTGTGTTAGCTTGCATAGTCGCTCGTTCATCATTGTTGGAGCGTATCCGAGATTGGCTGTATGATGATCCTCATTTGTGTGTCCTTAGAGACACGTTGCAGCACGGAGGTGCCAAGCAGATTACCTTGGGTGATGATGGAGTTTTGAGATTGCAGGATCGAGTTTGTGTCCCTAATATAGACGGACTCCGAGAGTTGATTTTATCAGGATTTGCGGCAACATTATTGATTGAGGAGAATGAAGAAGGATATCGTTGCGTATGTGGCTCGGTGTTTGAATTGTCAGCAGGTTAAGTACGAGCATCAGAG